GCAGGGTGATGAGAAAGTGGAAATGGTGAGCATTGTCTTCACACTTGTTCATGTAGCCAAGGGGAAAGGAGAGGAGTAGGTAAAGGTATACAAGCTAGGCAGGGATGGTTGGAATAAGCTTCTCAAGGAGAAGGGAAGATGTAGGATCCACATTTCAGGGGGACGGACTTGCCTAGGTAGCAAGGAGGGACTCTGCCAGTGACACTAAAATTAAGAAAGTTAGGGTAGGTATTGGTAGCTTGGTATCTTAATAAAGTTGGACAGGAGTATTAAACCTTTCTAATTGAGTGAGGAACCCTCACATGACTAGTCGGTGCCTCGATAAGTTCAATCTAAGAATTTCCCAGGAGGCTGTTGGGTTCTTTGTTGTCAGTTCATAGCCTTTGGTGGAGCTGAGTTTACAAGAAGCTTTTAAAAGTAACATCACCTTTGCTCTGATTGACTGTTATCTTCTCACATAAACATATCTTCTTAAACTTTTATCTCCAGTGTTAGGTAGAAAGATCTTTGCTGGGCCTGGAATTAAATGAAGGATTTATGTGTGGGAAATCAAACCTAAAACTTATTAGAAACTTTTGAAGTCTGAGCTGTTTGGAGTGTTCTGAAGGTCTATGTAGTCAAGTTGTTGTTTGACTTCCCTAATGAATTTCCTTGCTTAAATATTAAGATCTTAAATTCCAGGCACTGCTGTATTGGTGTCCTCTTATCCTAATGCTTAAGTCAGGAGATAATGTTCATGTAATTTTTTGGTCTGCAACATAGTATCCTAAAAAAGGATCCTCCAGCTTTGGGGCAAGGTTGTTATATAAAACCTTTTTCTGAGGAATTTATAGCTCAGCTCTAAGCAGGCTAACTCGTCTTGGAAAGGACTTGTAATCATGTTGCTTTTAGTAATTATATTCAGAATAAGTACTTGGACCTCTTCCCTCTGAAGTGAAAGTCAGGTTTCTAGCTATTCAAAGCATGATTGATGTGAGGCCATCCACTTTCCCTAGTGCATTATCCCCATGGGAGGGCTTGGTAGGTGAACAGCATAACTGTGGGTATTAAAATTTAAAAGACTCAATTGTGTTAATAGCATCTTCATGTCTAAAAGATAGGAGACAGTGGACGGGACTCTTACAGGTGACTTGGTGTTGATATCATTCTGTGTGTTTCTTTAGCCAGTCTTCTAATCATCTGTTGGCCAATCAAGAAAGTTTATTTCTTGTAAGAGTCTAGGGAATTCCCTGGTGGTCTAGTCATTAGGGCTTGGCACTGCCACTGCTGGGGCCCAAGTCAGTGACATAAGATCATGCAAACTGCGTGGTATAGCCAAAATAAAAAAAAAAAAAAGAGCCCAATCCAACATGCGAAAACTCCAGTATCCCAATAAGTATCACCTGTTTGCAGGGACATGCAGACATAATGGAAAAGAGTATTAAAGCTGACCAAAAGTTCTGCATTTTCACCAATGCCAGGTCTGCTCTGCGTTGCTCTACTGATTAGCTTTATAACCAATAATAGTCTGTCTCTAATATTACAGAGTTATCACTCTGAAGCCACAAGTTTTCTTTATAGAATTTCTTTTATTATAAAAGTAATACTTGTTTGCTGTAATAGGTTAAACACTACATAGATGGAAAAGAAAAAGTTAATAAATTTCCCTTTAAACTTGAGAATATTTTAAAGAGGTGGAATTCATGTGATTTCTTTTTAGTTCATGGCCTCGTATCCTTTAGCCCTGGAGGTGTGATTAACACGATTTCGTCTTCTTTATTTTCTACCCATAGTTATTCTGTTCACCTCCCAAGCCTTCCCATGGGGATAGTGCACGAGGGAAACCAGATGGTTTCTCATCAGTCATGATTCCAATAGCTAAACGCTGACTCTCAGTTCAGATAAGTGGAAGGATTTATTTTAGGTCTTATTATATAGAGCTTTAGATGCTAGTAGCTATGGCAGATGTAAAAAAAGTAAAGCATGGTGTCTTTCCTCAGGGAACTAATGATCTCATTGATGAGTAACAGTAAGGTTATTTGAAGTTTAGAATTTATATAGCTATATAAGTATAGACTGAGTGACTAGCATAGTAAATACCATAAAAATTTGGAGAACAAAGAGACTGTTGAGATGTGGGATTGTCCGGAAAGGCTGCCAGAGTAATGTTTCTCAAACACCAATCTCACCATGTCATTCTCCTGTTTAAAATCTTTTAATATGTTCTCTTATCTTCCCTTACCAGTTTCTTGGTGATAAAGTTTGGACTCCTTAGCTTGTCGTGAAAGGCCATGATTTGACTCATGTCATTCTATCCGGTTTTAAATGTCACTACCACCTAATACACATCCTGTCTTTCAGCCGCCGTTGTGCAGTTGTCTGAACATGAGCTCCTTCATATCTCTGTTACTTTGCACCAGGTGGAACTTCTTGTAGCCTTGTACCTTCCCTTCTCGTTCTGACTAGCTTGCAACTCATTTTTTAAGGTTTAGTAGAGTCACCCAGGGGAGAAGGCAATGGCACCCCTCTCCAGAATTTTTGCCTGGAAAATCCCATGGACGGAGGAGCCTAGTGGGCTGCCGTCTATGGGGTCGCACAGAGTCGGACATGACTGAGGCGACTTAGCAGCAGCAGCAGCAGCAGCAGAGTCACGCATCTAGAGACGTTCACTAGCCTCCTGCGTGTCCCTCCTGTGCTCAGAGAGGCTTGACTCCTCCTCATGTTCTTGAGTACTCTGTGCTCACCTCTGTTACAATAACTGTTGAAGTTATTTCTTCTTTCTGCCAGACTGTCATCTCTATTAAAGGTAGGGACTGTGACTTTGTATAACACAGGCTATTCCAAACAGCTAGCTCCTTACTAAGACCTATTCAAAGAATAAATGAGTGAATGAATGAACTGGATTTTAAATAGCATTTGGAGAAGTGGAGAGGAAGAAAGTAGCTTGCTGTGAAAAGAACGTAAATGTCAGTGGTTTAGATGAGATTATAACTTCAAGCTGACTTTGACACAGCTTGGAAAGGATTATGAAGAGGTCAGGTAACTGAATCAGCATCTGAAAAGATCAAATGATCAAAATATGTTGGAATGACAGTGGTCAAATCTAATAAAGATTATGACTTAAATACTTGCAGGCCTCTATGAAGGGAAAATTAGATTAGATTTTAAAAAAGTTTCAGCAGTTCCAAATGAGTGCCAATAGGTAGAATTTATAAGGATGCAGATTATGACACTTTATGGAATTTTAAATTAGTATATGTTTCTTATGAAGAGTTCTCTATTAAGTTTTAAGCTTCAGTAATATTGTAGATTATTTGGACAGACCTTTCAACTCTGAACATGATTGTTGTTGAGGAGATTTGCAGATCAGCAAGGAATTAGACAAATGCATTCTAATTCCTAACTGCCATGGTCTGTAGTAGGAAAAGATCACTGTTTCCTACAAACAAAGCCAGAGAGGAGGTGAAGGTAAAGTTAGTTACAGGTGAAGGAGAACTTACTGGATGGCTATAGATTCAGAGACTGGAAAGGAAGAGGTGAGGGTAAGGTTAGAGACAGATGAAGGAGAACTTACTGGATGGCTATCGATTCAGAGAAGTAATAAGATAGGGCATCCACCTGGAAGTGGTGGACCAGTGCTTGCATGGCTTCTACTTGGGTATCAGTAAGAAGGGAATAACTGGGTGGTAGGGAAAGAAACCCTAGCTGAAGTTTGTGTGAGTTACTAGTGAGTCAGATTTACATAATTCTGCTCCTTTCTTCTGAAATTTCTCTTAGTTGGAGAAGAAATGGAGGAGTGGTCAGCTCAGCTTGGGGATTGTCCTAGTGAAAGTAGTAGTAGATTAGGGAGGTGAGTGTCCCTGGGGTGCTCGTGACAAACAGCTTTTACTTGCTTAATCATGTTGTCTGGCACAGACTGGGGTAATCTTAGATGCTCTCAATAAACAGGACAAAATAAGAAGGGAGTGATTGAAAGTTGAAAGTGATGAGGAAATATGAAGGACTGATAAAGATGACTGCTGAGTAGCTATGTTTGGAGAAGGAATGAGGCCTGGGAAGTGGCATGGTGGCAGCTGGCTATGGCTTGGAGACGAAGGTCAGTGAGGCCAAGCAGGCTCACATGCACTGTCCACATATATGTTGAAATAGTTTGAGGATGACATCAGAGAACACCCACTGAACCAAGTTGTTGAGAGAGGCTAAGGTAGATTTGCCACGTGGAGGGGTGCATGAGCAGGGAATGGTCAATGATAGCAGGGATGATTTGAACAGGATGATATAGTGGAGGGAAAAGGCTTCAAATAAATAGAAGAGGAACGCACCTGATGGATCAGTGGTCTGGAGGTGGCAGTTGTGGCAGAAAGTGAGTCCTCCTCATGATCAGGCCTCTGTGATGTAATCGTTGTCGAGTGTTGACAGTCATGTTTCCGTTGAAGAGGTGAACAAAGTCAGAATGAAGCAGAATTTGCCTAAGAAAAAATGGGGGTGTAAGACTTGGAGAAGGGAGGCGGGGGGAGAGACGTGCAGGGGGCCTAGTGGGCAGCTTTGAGAGTTTGGTTGGCAAGGCTGGGGAGGAGGCTGGAGTGAGGGAGCCCTAGGGAAGGAAGGGGAGGGAGGAGAGCATTGATCAAGAGGACCAGTGTGTGGAGAGTGAAATGTAACCTCGGGACTTCCCGAGGGCCAGGACCACTCTGCCCCTCCTGTTGGGGGTTTTCACAGCTTCGGATTTTTGGAGCCTGCTGGGGGTGCGGTGGGGGCGCAGGGAATCACTGCCCTCCCTGGAGAATTAGGATGGGAAGGAGACTTTGCGCTGACATGATTCTTAAGGCATGTGATTCTGTCTAATGTGTAAAGTGACAGAGGAGGAAATCCAGAGAGACTGAACCTTCCCAACGACAAGGTGCTGTCTCTCAGGCTGAGGAAACCGTCTCCTCTGTTCTGGAGAAGCTGGGTGTGGGCAAGGCTGGGGAACATGTCGCCAGGTAGCGCTGACCCAGTGCCTTCTCCTTGTTTCCTCACAGATGAACGGGACCGAGTGCAGAAGAAGACATTCACCAAGTGGGTCAACAAGCACCTGATGAAGGTAGGACCCCTCATGGACCCTCAGATCCCCCTAATCTGAATGTGTCAGTCCCTCCTCTCAGACAGTTCATCTTGCTGGCCACATGGTCCAGTTGATGGGGATACATGATTTTCTTAAAAATATATCTAACATAGTCCTAATAGTGTGGAAACTTTCATGGATGAGTTTCTTGGTGAAGAGAGTAACTCCTCCATTATCTAAGAAGGCTGAGGTTGAGGATACCATGGAGTGATTCCTGAGTTTACAAGAATGCTTTGTATCAAACTTTACATACTATTTTATAAGCCCCTATTTTGTTTTAAAATTTTTAGTCTAATTACTATGTAAGGATGGGGCAGAGGGAATCTTGTTCTCTCAAAGTGTACAAGTCTTGAATGATCAGTTTAGTGAATTTTTAGTATGTATATACACTCCCATGCAGTTTAAAATACAGAGCAGAATGGCTAGGGTTGGACGTAGATCTTATCATTATTTTTAAAAAGAGAAAAACCCAAGGCAGAGGAATATTACTTACCTAAGGATAAACAGTACGACTAATATGGCAGTCAGATTTGAATACAAAGTTTTTAAGTTATAGTAATTACTCAACTCGGATAATTTTGAGTTTAATAATTGCTGCTTTGAGAAAGATCACCAGGGACCTCTTAATTGCCGTTTCCAGTGGTTTTATCTTTCTCTCATTTGCTTTCTTTGTAGCATTTGATAGTATTGACTAACTCACTGCTGCTTTAAAGCCCTCTCTTATGTTGCCTTCCAGGACACTGCTTTTCCCCAAGTTACCTCTCACCTCCACGAATGCCTTTCTCTTGCCTCTTTCACTGACTTCTCATCCTCTGTGTGAGTCCTTCATGTTGACGTCCCCTAACCATGACCATTTTCTTGTTTTGTTCTCTGTATTCTTGGCAGTCTCACCTGTGTTAACCGCGGGGATCATTCTGTTTGCATAGAATGCAAGGAATCACACAGAGAAAAGGATAGGGGTGATCTCCAGAGTCTGGTGCCTGGATGCATCTGAGCTTACGAAAGCTGCGCTTCACTGCTCTCTCCTCTTTTTAGGAGCTCTTTGTTTTTCACTTTTCTTTCTCTCTGTGTGTCTTCTACATTCAGTTCTCTGCACTCCTTGCTTTTGCTTGTGTGTGAGCCATGGTGGTTGTCCCTCAAATGGTGGTGTAAACCCCTGCAGCCACAGGATTCTAAAGACACAAACACGAACAGTCTGGGTGGCTGGGGTTTTCTTCTCCTCTGTGGGTCAGGGGTCTGTCGATGTGGTCAGTGAACTATGGCCTGGGAGATGGTTACAGAAATCAGACATAGCTCCTTAGGTCACTTCTTTAACTGCAGGTAAGGTCGGTTTTCAAACTCTTAATACAAGATTTAAATCAGGAGGTAACGATAGAGCCTTTCTCTGTGTTCTTTCCTAAGCCAAAGACCCATATCTCAATAGTGTCCTTGACACAGTCATCTGGACGTTACCCAGACATATCCTGTATCCAGTACATCCCGAAGTGCTCAGTATTTTCATTCATGTACCTAGCTGTCCAAGTTAGAAACCTGGAATCATACTATATTTAGTCCTGCCCATCATCTCTCCCTGTCACCAACTCTAATCAATCATTTCCAACTCAGAAAGATGCTTGCATCTGATTTCTCTTCTCTGCCCTGTTCCAGGGCCTCGCCTCTTGATTTGGCCACTATAAGTTTCCTAATAAAGTTTCCTGTAAGAACAAGTGTGATGATAATGGTCGTAATTTATTGAGTGCTTACTGTAAATCATACTTTCTGTACTAAGCCCTTTATTTACATGGATCATCTCCTTTAATTCTTCAGTGACCTTATACTATAGATTCTGTTAATAGTCCCATTTTATCAATGAGGTTTAGAGAGGCTAAACAGCCTGTTCAAGGTCACAGCACTAGAAAGAAGTAGAACTAAAACACTGGAACTCAGGCAACCTGAAGTCTAGCCCCTACTCTTCACCTCTGCAGTACTGTCTCCGGTCTGCCTACCTTTCTGGGCTCAATGTCACGTTCCCCTTGGACCTTAAGCTCTTGCTGAACTGTTTGTCACGCTCTGTGCCTCTGTATCTTTGCTCCGGGGGCGCCCTCTGCTTCTTGCCCAACTCTGTTCTGCCTGGACACCACCCCGGTCACTCCCCTTGGTAAATATCTCCCTGACTCGGCCTCGTGGAATCGACGCCCTGTCCTGTGCGTCTTCCCTGCTCTCCTTACATACTTCTGTTGCAGCAGCTGCAGCAGTTCTCATTCTGCCAGACTGTAATTTGAAGGTTGATGTTGTGTCTTAATTTTTCAGTCAGGACAAAGAAGGAAGGGAGAGAGAGAGAGGGAGGAAAAACCTGTGGTTTTCCTCTAATTTCTTCAGCATTTACCAGTTGCCTCTCATTTGGTGACAAATAACTCTGTCAGGGTGCAGAGCCCTGCACAGCCTGTTTGCAGCCTGGCACTCTCCCCTGTGTAGCCTGCGCTGCAGCCACAGGAAAGCGCTCACCGCTTTCTGAACACCGTATACTTTCACACCGCTTTGCTTATTCATTTCTCTCTCCCTTGAAGGCATATCTTGAGCTCTGCTGCCTGGCCATCATCCACTTCTCTTCAAGGCCCAGGTCCAGTATCCCCTTCCTGAGACTCTGACCTCCATCCCTGTGACTAAATTAATTGCAGCTCCATGTCTGTCTCACACCACTTTGAAGAGATGGGTGTGTGCATTCACACATTGGTGCCCTCTGCTCCTCGAGGGCTAGCACTTGCCGCGCTGCTGTCTCATCCAAGTCCTGCACCAGGAGCATGAGAGGTGTTCAGTAAGGATTTGTTCCCTTGAGTGAGTGACAGTTCAGTAGTCCTTTTAGCTTACAAAGCATATTCTAATCTGACTTGATCCTTACAGTAACCCTGAATTTAACAGCTGAGGAAGTTGAGAATTAGAAGGATGAAGTGACTTTTCCAAGATCATACAGCTAGTGAAGGATGGAGCTAAAGACCAATCACGCATCTTCTGACCAAAATAACTTGTTGTTTCTATTCAATATGCCCCTATCTTGCTCTGTTTTCATACCTCATCTCTTAAGATTTGGAGAAACTGAATTGTTCCTTCTTCAGGTTTGTCCCCCTACACTTTGTGGGTCTTTACAAATGCTCTGGCTGCCTGCTCTTAACTTGTAGCTGATGTTGCCTGTTGGGCCTCTGCCTCAGTGCTGTGTGATGACAGGAGGCTCGGGCGGGGAGAAACAAGACAAACACACATGGCATTGTTAGCAGTTGGAGGCCAGCCAGAGCCTTACTAAATCCCTGGCTGTTTTTCATCTCTTCCTCTTCCCCCAGCCTTACAGTTCCAGTGGCATTTTTTCACCTTGGGGTATTTCACAGAGGTTCACTGCTCATCAGAATCATTGCTCCATGTCAGCTGTCTTTGAACTTTGGGCTGAGAATTAGAATCTATTTTCTGTAGCTCAAGCATCCTTTGCTTTGCTCCCCAAGTACACGTGAACCACATTAGTGTTGCCAGTAGCAGGCAGACTGATGTAAGATCAAAGCAACCAAGCCCTCACTTCTAGATTTGGTTAACCTAATCTCTTGGATTCCCGAGTATCTCTTGAGGAAACAGTTTATTATTGAATGAGCTGATTCATTCCTCTTTATTAGCTGAGAACATTGTTGGTCCAATCTTAAAAGAGATTTAAGAATGAAATATATATACAGATCACCTAAGGTAGAATGCAAGTCCTACAGATCGAAGAGTTCTCCCCCTACACCAGAACTATCAAAAAGAAAGATCTAGAATTTTCAGTGAGGTTTTTATTTGCATTAGCCCTGATGTTTCTCTGGGTCCTGGCAGCTTATAAAGTGTAGACATATCTCCCTAAAAAGGACTTCAAGGCAGGCTGAGAGGCTGACAGAACAGAGAGCAGGAGTTTTCTCTGGTCAGTTTCTATGGACTGAAGACGTCAGTGGGTAGAAAGGAAGGAAAGTATTTAATCTAACAGATGAAATTGCCCTTTCCGTTTTTTCCCCACGTATGCCATCTAGTAGCCATTGGCCTTCCTGGGATTTTATTTAACTACAGAAAACCAGCAAAAGTTTTTAACTCCAAATTTTCACCGATGTTCTCAATTTTTTCTGCTTGTTTGAGGCTCCCTAGCTAGTGGTTGCAGGCCGCCTTTCCTGTGCAGCCTCTGTACCGTGGCCACATGAGACAGCTCACTGCTCCCTCAGCACTGCATGTACTTTCACACCTCTTTGCTTATTCGTGTCTGTGGGAAAGGTCGGAAGGAGCCTGGCAGTGGAGTGTGATTTAGGAGATTGATGGAGTCGTGCTGCTCAGAAGAGGAGTGTTGCCTTTGTTGCCCAGCTGTGACCATAGGGTGGTGGCTTGTGACCAGCTCTGCCTGGATCTGAGTTCTCAGGGCTTGATTTCACCCTCAGTGCATTTCAGCCCCCACTGAAGGATTCCGGTTCTCCATTTGGACTTGGATTCTCTACTCCCTGAGCATTAGTGCCTGCCTGTGAAGTGAAGCTCCCCTTGGGGGACTTTGCAGTCATCCTCTTTCTCAGAGAGTCTTTGTTAGTCAGAGTTGGCTGATACCACTGTCAGATTCCTCAGAACTTAAAGAACTCTCAAAACAGGAGACATAGAATTGTTATCTGCAAGGAGCCTCACTCTTTACTCCCACATCATACTCTATTTCAGCAGACATTCCCAGCCCCCACTCTTGTTCCCTGCATTTGAGCACAGTTCTCTCCAGGAGTCTATGACCCCCGCCACCCTCCCCCCCCCCCAAAAAAAAACCCCAGAACAACAACAACAAAAAAAAAACAAACAAAATAACTTATGACAACTATAATCTGCTTTTTTAGTGTTAGGCTTTTCCTGGAGGATAGATTTGGCCGTTGAATCAAAATGAAATTTTCCCTTTTATGGCTTAGAAATCTATAAGTTCAGAAATCCACCTGAAGTTACCAGGCTCACTCTCGTGTTCCCTGTATCTTTTAATAAGTCTGTGTGCTAAGTCACTTCAGTCATGTCTGACTCCCTGCGACCTTAAGCACTGTAGACTGCCAGGCTCCTCTGTCCATGGGATTCTCCAGGTAAGAATACTGGAATGGGCTGTCATGTCCTCCTACAGGGGGTTTTCCCAGCTCAGGGATTGAACTCCATCTCTTATGTCTCCTGCATTGGCAGGCAGGTTCTTTACCACTATCACCACCTGGGAAGCCCTTAGTAAGTATAAATGAGAGTAAATAACATATTCTTCTCTTTAAAGTTTTCTCCTCTGATTTCTTTATTGCTCTGCAACATAGTGTGGATCAAGGAAATTGAGCTACTTGTGTTTCTGTTAAGAGTCTTTGAGCAAAACTTTGCCAGATCAGGCTCTCTGCAGGTATTAAAGAATACTGCAGGACAATCCTTGGTTTTTTGAGGGGAACCTCTTATAATTTAATAATGTTGTTAATATGTTGTTTCTACCCTTCAAGCATCATGGAAGCCTTGTGAAGGGAAAAAGCAGTGAACACAGAGTCAAGAGACAGTGATCTGACACTTTCCAGCTAAATGATTTTACATAGTTATGTAACTTCTCTAGACAATGCATTTCTCATCTGTAAACTGAGAATGTTAGAGTTAAGTCAGCCTTAAAGTCCCTTTGGGCTCAGATTCTGATACCAAGCACTTAAGTGCAATTTATTCCCTTTGCTAAAGCCACTCAGAAATTGGGGGAAGCTGTTTATTTTTTCATAACCTCAAGCCAATCTTTTAAAAATTGGGAGAGCAGAGCTTTCCTTGGTTTATGAATGCATGATGATTGGGGAGGCTTGGCTTTGTCTGAAAATTTAGTCATTCATTAATTTTTTAAAATAGCTATGTTGAGATTTAATTTACATTTCACACATTTAAAGTATAGAGTTTAGTGACTTTTATTACATTCAATATTGTGCAGCCATCATCACAATCAATTTTAGAACATTTTCCTCACTCCCTATAGAGAAACCCTGTACCCTTTAATCATTATCCCTAAACACCCCTCCATTCCTTCCCCTGCCCTAGGCAACCACCAGTCTATTTACTATCTGTCTCTATAGGTTTGCTGATTCTAAATATCTCACATAAATGGAATCATACAACGTGTGGTTGTTTGTAATTGTTTTCTAATGCTCATAGTATAATATGTAGGCATTTGGGTTATTTTCAGTCTTTGGCTAATGTGAACAAAGAATGCTGCTATGAACATTCATTCATGTACAAATTATTTTTTCTGAACATATGTTTTTAATTCTTTTGAATATATATACCTAGGAGTGGAATTACTGAGTCATATGGTAACTTGTGTTTAGCCTTTTAAGGAACTATCAGGCTGTTTTCTAAAGCAGCTGCACAATTTTATATTCTCACTAGAAGTGTATGAGGGTTCCAGTTTCTCTGTAGCTTCACCAGCACTTATTATTTGTCTTTTTGATTATAGCCATTCTAGTGGGTGTGAAGTGGTGTCTGTCTGTAGTTTGATTTACATTTTCTTTATGGCTACTGATACTGAGCATCTTCTCATGAGTTTGTTAGCCATTTGTATATATTCCTTGGAGATTTCTAAAGAACCAATTTTGATGGTGATTTTCACAGGGACTACAAACAGGCAAGGACCTGGCCAGTTGAAGTTTTTCACTCATCTTATTTGTTAACAGAGTAGCATGATTGTTTGTTGGAAAGAAACATACCTATGGATGATTCCTAAGCACTCTTGGCCTTACCTGGCTGCCCCTAATATTTCTGGTACTTAGTCCACCAGACTTTCTCTTAAGAGATTTGAGGAAAACTTTAAAGGCAAACCAGCATGTACAAAAGAGGTGAAGACTTTAGAATGGGGGAGACCTGGATTTGATTGGCCTGGTCATTTACTAGCTGTATGATCTGGCTATGTTTAAGCTGAGCCCTCCAAAATGTCACCTCTGCATCTGAAACTTTTCTGTGTAAAAGCACTAGTAAATGTTAGTTAGTTCTTTATCCTTGTCTAGCCAGAGCTGTGTCCAGTGCGCTTCAGAAACAGACGGCTGTTCTCTGCTGAAAATTCTCTAAGGGAAAAAAATCTCACTACACTCACCTCCCCCATTACTTCTGTCTATACCTCTCATAGTTACTTAGTTATTATAGTCACACAAAGACTGAGAAACATAGTAAACTAGTTATCATCTAAATTTCTTGTAAGGTTCAACTTTACTATTCACAGGTGTAAAACTTAACTGGAATTTTCAGGAGATATTGGAGCTTTGATGTAAAACTAACCTTTACATTTTAAGTGCCTCCTTTTTCTTTTCAACACTCTGTGGTGTTTGGTGTCCTATTGAGAACATGATCCCATCTGGTTCACAACCCTATATAATTTATTTAAATAATTACTCCTTAACTACTCCCGATTTTTATACCCTATTTTCAGGTCTTAGCTGCCAAAAATAAATTGCTCATTATTGTCTCTTCTCTTCTTAACCCTTAATATCAAGTATTTAATAATTTCTGACTTTAAAAAATCTCTTATTTGTTTGTAATCTGATTTCCATCCCCCCCACTTTCTAGAAAATTATTCTCGCAAAAGCCCTCTGATTTGTAGGAAAACTCAAAAACTGTTACTTAATCTGCATCCTCCTTGTCCCCTAGCATTGGATACTGGTGATGATCTCTTCCTCGATTTTACTTTCTTGTTCATTGCCTAACTCTTCCACTGCCTTTCCCCCATTCACCCTGTCCTTTGTTGATTGCTTTCCCATCTCCTGCCTTCTAATTTCAGCTATTCCCTCAGGCTCAGTCCTTAGCACTCTTGTTTTTTTCTTTTTGCCGCAACCCGGAAAGCTCAACATTTCCCATGCATTTAGCTAGCACCTCTATGCATATGACTTCTAAACTTAAGTTCTCAGCTGGCCCAGATTGGATTCTGGTATTTGCAGCTGCTTCAAGAACATTTCCATTTGTAGCTCCTTTGCCGTTGTTTTAAATTCAACATATTTAAAATTGAACTTGTCAAAATCAACTCCCTTTCCAACCCGTATGACCTTCTAATTTCTGTGAGTGGTGCACTGTGGTTGTCCCAGGCCCCAAGCTTGAACCCTTGAACCCACTTGAGGGGAGCAGTCTTAAGATCTTAGAAACACCCATATGTTAGAGCCAGCTTTTGTGGCCTTGTGAGAGCCAAATAGTAAATGTTCAAGAGTCTCGTGAACTCTTTTCTAAGCACAACCATGATGAAAAGTTAAATTATATAAACTTACACTTAAATTATATTTAAAATGAAGGTAATAAATACTCAAAATTCATTCATTCTTAGATACTTTGCTATGTTATTATCATCTGTGCTGTTGAGGTTAATTATATCTGTTGTCTCTTTGATGGAAACTGTGTATTGGTGTGCTACTGTACATCTCTCCCCAACATTGCTTTTAGTGATTTTATATTAATAGCTTGAAATTGGTCATGGTAAGAGTATTTTTCCTGTACATGTACAAACATGTATATCCTTCATATTTCCAGCCTCCTACTTAGTCTTACGTGGTTTTCCCATCCTCTTTCTATCCAACATTTTCTAATCCTTCAAGTCCTTTCTCTTCTAGGAAGTCCCCCAAGACGTTCCCAGTCTTCATCTTCTCAGATTCTCAGTGTTGACTGCTAGGATATTACAGCTGGAAAAGACTCGTGGTTCAGGCTTCCATGTGATGTAGAAATCCCAGGATCCCAGCCCTTGCTTGAAAAACTAGTGACTGAAAATCCACTACTTTTAGAGTAACCCTTTCTCTTGTTGTCTAGAAAGTTATATATATTGTAAAGGGTCTTCCTTCTTATAATTTCCACTAGTCTTCTGATTCTGTTTGTGCAACACTCAATGAAGTTGTCACTAGACTTGGAATGAATCAGACATTTTAGCCACGTCCTAAAGTTGTGTGACCATGACTTCTCAGAGCCTTACTTTCCTCAGTTTCTCTTATGAAATAGGAACTTCACAGGGCAGTTGTTTGGATTAAATAAATAGAATGAGATTATGGCTGATTACAAAGCATTGTAGTAATGGCAAAGGCTAAAATCAGAAAGATGAAACTGAGGCCAGTTTTTCCACTTAGTTTTGACCTTAGGCAAGTTACTTAACCTCTTCTTTGTGCCTTATTTCCTCATATGTAAAATAGGCATAATATAATAATAATAGTAATAATGCGTAATATAATAATGCCCACCTTACAGATGTTAGGGATAGATGAGATAACATCTAAAGCATTTAGTGTTTGACATTACCCACACATTTTTCTAAAGTGATATTTGTTTTTTCATAGTTTCAGTTATAACATTAGAATTATTTTTCCCCAAAGGAAAAGAATTCTGAAATTCACTCTTTATTTATTTATTTATAAGTATTGGGTAAAAAAGGGGTTAAATTAGAGCTACACCCCATGGAACACTGAGTGTCTAGCATTTTGATTTCCTTTGTAGCACTCTGGAGGGCTTTACTGATTCTGATGGGTCTCATGTGTCCATCACTGGCTGTTATATCATATTTTTGTCCATAATAATTGCTGAGATGTTTCGAGATGATCAAGACTTGGCTAAACTTTATGGAGTATCGTTCAGGGTTGACTGGAGTGTGTAATAGATCTGGCCTCACTTTAAAAAAACACATATAAGCCTCTGTTAAGTGTTACCATCTCATATGTATTGTATTCCAACCTGAATATTCCTGAATCGTTTATTGTCTTCAGTTTCAAATTCTTTAATTTGTGTTTACATAGAACCATAAGCACTCCTAAAATAAATGAAAAAAAAAAAGAACCATAAGCACTCGTGTGGATAATAAAATAATTCAAGATCAAATAAAAATCAGTCTTGTTTTGCTCTCATGCGCAGGTCCGCAAGCACATAAATGACCTTTATGAAGATCTACGGGATGGCCATAACCTGATCTCTCTGCTGGAGGTCCTCTCAGGCATCAAACTGGTGAGCTTTTCTCTCCTCCTAATGGGTGACTTCCCAGGTGTGGTCCTATTAATGACACATGGGTCCATTGTGTTGAGTGCTGGGGCGGTAGCTGTCACTTCTGTTACATGGGAGGAAAAAGTAGAAGAGGTGATTGCTGGACTTTATTTCTAACTCAGACTTAATGCTTTACAAATGATATAAGTTCATTTTAATTTAACCTGATTTGTCATATATTCTCATTTCTTTTTTTTATTCTTTTTTTTTTTTTTAAGTCTCATTTCTTGATGGGATCCAGTATTGGTTCTATTACTTTTATATTTGTATGATTTCTCCTTGTTCTTTATCTATTTATACATGCTAGTATTTCAGGAATAGTAGATTCTCACTTTAAGATTTTTTAATAAGGTGCATTTTTCTTCCTATAGTGTTCTTTCTAGTCTACACAGACTCCTTCTATTTTCCCTTCTACTGTGAATTACTTTATTTTCTATATTCAACAAAGAGCTGAGATTTACATGTAAAAGCCCAGGTGTTTAGAGTCATTGTTTCCCAAATGGCCTGACTTCCTCCCTTCTGGAATTCATTGTCTGTCACAGGTTTGAAGAAAAGCTGAAGTTGATGTCTGAGCATAGCCCCAGATGCCATATATCTGGGCTCCTTGGATAATTAGATGCGCCTGCCTCCTCCCCATAAGTATTAAATCTGGCTTATGGAAACAGTTACCTGCTGAGGACAAAGCCTGTCTGAACCTCTTGGCTCATCAGCTCTTGTCCTCACTTTGTTGAAGGGATCAGCGTGGCTTCACCATGGGCTTATTGTTTCACATGTGGGAGCCTAACCTGAGCCTGTGACTCTGTACAGCTCCTGCTCTGTCTTGAGTGTTGTAGACAGCATGCTTTTTCGTCTAGAAGCCAGCGCTGAGTGTAGAGAACCTGTGGGAGGCGCGCCCTGGAGAGGAGCAGGCTCAAGGAGTCTGTGGAGGGAGCCAGCACGCTCTCTGTCTTTGGTGATTTCTTAACCACGTTCGTTGTGTTTCAAGAGTAGGATTTGACACTTTAGATTTCTCTCCCTAAGTAAAAGTCAGCTCCTTCCGGGATTGGGCTTGGCTTTCCTGGGGTCCTTTGTTTTAGTTTCTTTCTTTCTTTCTTTTTTAAATAATTTTTAATGGCCTAAAATTGACAGATGCTTTTGTTGACATAGCCAGTATATATGAATTCTAGTTCTTCTCTGGCTCTCATTTATAAATCTCCTAAGTAATCAGAATTTTACTTTTACTGTGTTGGAGTTAGAAGTGCTCACTAAATTATATTTTGGGCAACTTGGCTGGTATATTTGGTGAACTTGCAGTGATTTTATATTGAAAAGTGATCCTTTTCAGTGATGTTGCTTACAAAACAGGTTAAAACCACTCCAGTCTGATTTCTTTTCCTAGCCTTTGAGGACCTACAAGTGTTTATGGAGATAGTTGTAAAATAATCATCTTTTCACCAGAAACCACCCAAATATCTCTTTCATGGTTATTCTCATCATGCATTCTCCCTTATTTGATTCACAAAAGTAGGAAGAATGGATGGCCTGCGGAGAGTTAAAGCTGTGTTTCAACATAAGAAGTGTTCAGTATAACCATCTGTTCTGGTCTTAATTTTGTTTTGCATCTTTGTGGAGGTGGGAGGGTATTTTCATATTTATTTTCATCTTTTTTTTTTTTTCTGCATTCATTTCCTTTTCATTTATGTGTTGTGAATTTCCTGTTAACTCTGTCACGTCTCTGTCTTGGTTGGTGGCCAAAGGAGCCGGCAGGGCTGAAGACCCTCCGCCTGGTGAGCATGCCCTCCTGGCGCCATACAAACAGCGAGGAGCAGGAGGAGGAAGATGATGATGATGTCGTAGGTCCTCCTGGGGACACCAGCGTCCCATCCGGCACTGCAGGGCCATCAGAGAGTTTGGGGTTCTCTAGGTCTCCAAGTAGCTCACTTACCAATTGCCTTCTTCCCTGTCCACCTGGGAATTTGGGTCCCAAAGAAAGTGGTTAAAACTAATTGTGCCTCATGCTACTGTTAGACGATCCCAGAGTGGGAATTGTTTTGCGTATCTATGAGTAGCTGGCACAAAAAGAATAATGATGTTTGGCGGCGGCGAGTCCCTTTGTGACCTGGAGACCCGTGCCTTTCTGGTGGCCTTGCTGTGTTGTCTTGAGTCTAGATTGCAGAATTGTGGGAAGCTTAGTTGACAGCATGTCAGTTACTGCTTCTGACTCCACACTCCAGACTAACGGGGACTTGCTCTCCACCTCTCTGGCCTCCAGGTTCTCACCACACACCGTGTCATTTGTTGTCAAAAGAGCCTGTTGTTTGCAAACCACTCACTGCATGGGGATACTTTGCCTTGGTCAATAACATCTCTAGTTGCTATAGAGGACTGAGATTTAACTTGCATGTTCTCAAGGGTATTTTTGGTGGGGAGTACTTAGGCATAAAGATTAGAGTGTGTAAGAGGGCCATTTTCTGCTTGCAGGCCCTAAGTTAGAGTCTGTGATTTTTCTCCAGAAGTAGAGATCAGGCAGTGTCCCCATTCCCTGTCCTCTTAAAGTCGTCTTTTCATCTCATTGATCTCCCCTCCAGTTGCCTTAGCATCTTCGGTTTCACAGGCTCTGTCATCTTCTAAGCCATATTCACAATTAGTTCAAGTGGAATGACTGAGAAGAGATTCTTACTAGAAGGTTTTCCCTGGCCTTTTGACTTAGGAAGTTACTGTGTTGCACAGAGAGGCCTCACCTTCTCTGTCGATTACCCTGGTTTGAAAGTTTTGCTTAGAAGGGTTGAGGGACGCCCACAGAGATGTTTCTACCCCATCCCTCCACGTGTTGGGTTACTTTTTGCCCATTTCAGCCTGGGGCAATGTTTCCTCTGTTCAGGTGCCCACAACAGAGCTACCTTGTATTTTATTGGCCTTTAATTAGTACCATTTTGACATTTACAAATGAATTGGGTATGATCTAGTGAGAATGATGTTTTAGTCCCAATTATTGTGGGGAGGGGGGAAAAACCATTGAAAAGTGAGCAGAGGAAACATTTCGGACGTAGACAGTCATCCCTGCCTGTGCTCACTGGAGAAGGACTCCATGCAGTCTTGGATGGGTAGGAATTGAGCCGTGGATCCAGGATCCACGTGGTGGTGGTGACACCAGAGTCACTGGGTGGAGGTGGACGCCCCACTGTGGCTTGTATGACATCCAGGATTGAGCGGCCGGCAGGAAATACCTTTCTTTGGAGTACTGTGTTGAAGAACCCTACACCATCAAGGTCTTGTCTGCTCTGGGTATCTCAAACTGGGCTTAAAGGTGGCTACTTTGTCTTCCTAGGAAATAGGTTCCTTCTTGATTCCTGCCTTCCATTTTAGATTTTTTTCACTTACTGAGTGTGTATAACTCCTCATTCCCTAGTGTAAAATTGCCTACCTCTAGTTTCTTTTGCCAGGTTTGTAATATGGTTGGCGTTGTCCATTACTGAGCAACATGTAATTAGGCCTTTTATCCTTCCCTTACAGTAACATTTAACTATGGTTCTGGGAGCCATAGAGCCAAGTCTTTGTTTCCATTAACCTCACATCCAGAATCAAGTCCTGCCACGTATGGTCGCAGAGGAGCCTGTAGAGAAGCCGCGGCACTACTTCAGCATTTGCATTCAAACGTGCCGTGTGTTCACGGGATCCGAGTGGTAAACAGGCATTTGGGGCCTCAGCGAGCATGGTGAAAACACACACAGGTCCTGCCTGGAGGGGTGCTTTGTGTGATGCTCCCACGCCTGGCTTCAGTCATGGGAGTTCTTTGTGGTCTTTTATTCTTGAAATGAAGGAAGAAAGGGATTTGCGTGGGTAAATTGGTGTCACTGCAACGAACATCCCTTTTGTTTGTTTGTAGCCCCGGGAGAAGGGCAGGATGCGTTTTCACAGGCTGCAGAATGTTCAGATTGCCCTGGACTTCCTAAAGCAGCGACAGGTAAGAGAGTCCCGCGTGTCCCCCGCTCTGCCGGGGAAAGTTGGTATTGGGTCCCTATTTAGGGACGTCCTCATTGCCCCTGGTAAGTCCTCAGTGAATCCGACTGATACAGTTCTGAGTCTTGCTTGCTAGTGAGCAGCTCTGTTACGTCTGAACAAATCTTACATAGAGTGTGTGGCCTGTCTGAGAGGGAAAGTCTTAGAGAAGAGCAAGATGCGAAAGATTGACTCACCTCCGCTCAGGTGGAGGCCAAAGGGAAGATGAGAAACCAGCAGAGAAGATGGGAAAAGATACATCACCCAGGGAGAGGGAACACCAGTGTGCTTCGTCACCTTGAGAACTGGATGAGGGGATGGTCAGGCTGGGTGAACGGTGCGTGGGGCTTGTGGGGACGGTCTCAGCTGCACAGCGCTGGTGCCCTCAGACACCATGCTCAATAGAGCAGAGGAGTGTTGGGTAAAGAAGCTATTCCCTCCCTAGAGAGAAAGGACGGAAGACAGAAGCACACTTTTAGACAGTGGAGAAGCTAGCGAAGAGAAGAGAACAGAATGAGAGTGAGGAGTATGGGTCAGAGCAGGTTAGCCCTGGAAGACGCCTTGGAGGTCGCTAGTCCAGCCTTTTCATTTCCTACGAAAGGAAACTGAGAAATGACCTGCCCTAGATCACAGAAGTGAGAGCAAACCTGGGACGTCCACGCAGGCCTCCTGGACATTTTTTAAATGCTCCTTTCATGCTACTTTCTACGCACCATCCTTCTTCCCATGACTTCCTAACTGATGGAACCAAGACCGGGGATTGAGGGATGAGGTCCAGAGCACAGCTGGTGTAGATTCTTTGAGAAGGAAAGGAAAAGGCCTCTTCTGAGGTACCGTGAGGAGGAAGGAAGGAGGCATAAAAATACAGAGGAGGTTTGTGGAGGGGAGGAAAGTAGTTGGACGAGGGAGTCAGAGTTCATCTGCCTAGAGAACTGTTTGGAAAGATTTGGTATAGCTACAGTTGCCAGGCAACAGTGCCGGTCACGATGACATGACATGGTGTGCATATTTTTGGAGTTAGTTCACTTTTGCCACTCTTATCAGTAATTCTCCTTAACTTGGGAAATTCTCTTTCTGTGTACTCCCATAGCCGTTTGCTTCTCATATAATACTTGTGACTTTATTGTTATTTCTCTGCTCTAATGCATTGTAGGCCCATGAGGACAGAGAATGTGATCTTACTGAACATTTTTATCTTCATCACCTGTTGTAATGGATGGTCCATAATTGACACTTAATAAATATTTGTTGAAAGAAGTGGTAGGGGAATTAGAGGTTGAAGTATTCAGGGGACTGGAGACAGCATCCTTGGAATGTCTGTGTGTAAAGTTAGAAAACCAGAGAGGGCCTTAATGGTCAAGGTAAATTGAAAAGAACTGATTAGCTAGAAACCTCACTGAGGATGGAGAGTAGATCGGTTACTAGGATATAATAAAAATGTGAGCCATGACCAGTGGGCACAGAGAAGGGCAGAAAGAACTCTGGAGTACTTCTTGCTGATGGTGAGATTGTCGCTGTGCAGGTGTCCACAGCAGAGTGAAAACGGAAGTCTTCCGAAATGGGAAGGCAGACGAGTTGTATAGATGGGGTGACACCTGGGTCATTGAGATGGTGCCAAAATTGCTGAGAAAGATGGTGGAAGACAAGGTGGGGAATGTAGGAGTTAGGTGTGAGGTCTCCAAGAAAGATGGTAGAAGATGAGGTAGGGAAGGTAGGAGTTAGGTGTGAAGTCTCCAAGGAATAGATGGCAGACACTGGAAGGTGACTTGACCAAGGAGGTATTCAGAATCCACGGGAAGAGCTCCTGGAGGTGGGGCAGAGGAATGTGGACTTGGCTGATGCTGCCAGCCTGCCAGCTACGGGCCATGAGTGATGAGAAAAGCTGCACTGAGGCAGGAAGCAGGGTCTCCTGCTCCCAGTGTACAGAAGAGGAGGTGGAGACCCAGGAAAGGGAAAGAACTTGCCCAGTGTCTTGGTCATTCATGCTGCTGTAACAAAGTATCACAGCCCCGGTGGCTTATAGACAATAGAAATTCATCTCTCATAGTTCTGCAGAAGTCCAAGATGGAGGCAGACTTGGTGTCTGGTGAGGTCCTGGTTCCGAGACCGCTTTTAGCAGTGTCCTCATGTGATGTGACGGTCGAGGGAGATTTCTGGGTCTCTTTTATAAAGATACTAATTCTGTTCCCTCAAGACCTAGTCACCCCCAAAAGGTCCCACCTACAGATACCTTCAGATTGGGTATTAGGGTTTAACCTATGAATTTTGGAGGGACACAGCAGTCAGTCTACAGCACTGGTCACCATAGTGTAAGGAGAAGTGAAGCTTCTGCTTGAGGTCTTGAGTACATGAAGGCTTCAGTTCAGCTGAGGAGACAAAGGAAGGGCAGCTTCAGGGCAGCTGTCACAGTTGTCAGGAGCTCTGTGAGGGTATGACAGAGACTCACGGGGTGGAGGTGGAAATAGGCTGGTTTTCCCAGGACATCCCTCAGTCCCCAGCACACAGGGATGGTTGGTCGCCCTGGTGGGGGACGGGCCTGTGTGTCTGTGTACATCGTGCTGCTGGAATGAGATTAGGAGTAAGGCAGGTGCTGTGGGAGGAGGGGAATGGGTGGGACAGGCCAGAGACCGGTGAGGGATGAGGGGCAGATCTCTCTCTCACAACCTTGAGAAAATAAGAAAGAGAAAGAAAAAAGGGCTGGGAAGACTTAATTTACAAGCAGCTCATGATAGCATGTGCTTGCGAAATTGCTTTGCTGGTGGGATTGCAAAATGGTACAATCATGGTGTAAAATTGTTTGGCAGTTTCTTACAAAGCTAAACGTATACCATATGACCCAGCAATCCCACTCCCAGGAATTTACCCTAGAGAAATGAAAACATGTGCTCACACAGAAAAACTGTATATGAATATAAGAGCTTTATTCATAATTGCCCCAACATGGAAACAACCCAGATTCCTTCAGTAGAGGAGTGGATAACTATGGTGTGTAGAATACAGGTATAATGGAATACTCTTCCACAACGAAAAGGGGCAGGCTGTTGCTCCAGGCAGCAACTTGGATGGGAATCTCGTGGCCATTGTGCTGAGTGCAAAAAAGCCAGAATCTGAAGATTACATACTATGGGACACCACTTATATGACATCCTGGGTAAAGCAAAGCTGGGAACAGATCAGCGGTTGCCAGGATTTAAGGGTGAAGGCAGGATTTGACTGCACAAAGTCCCACCTTTTGGGGTTGATGCTCCTGTTTTGTTACCCTGATTATAGTGGTCATTAACATAAATCTATACATATGTGAAAACTCAAACTGTACACCAAAAAAACATTAATATGCATATGAATAATAAAAATCTATAAAAAAATGAAATCAAAACAAAAAGTTGCAGAGCTGTCAGACCAGCTTTTGTTTCTTTTTCAGGTGAAACTAGTGAATATTCGCAACGATGACATCACAGATGGCAACCCCAAGCTGACGCTTGGCCTGATCTGGACCATCATCTTGCACTTCCAGGTAGGGTCTGTGAAGTCTGGGGGCCTGGTGCTCAGTTTGGACATGGCCTAGACAGAGCTAGAGGTTGCTCTGCTTTCCAGGGGCACACGAAGCCTGCCTTCTCTGTATTTGGCAGTGAATGAGGAAGGGGATGAGCAGGAGCTGGAAAGGAAGAGGAGCGTTGGCCTGGAGGCAATGCTATTCTAGTGTAAACCGAGAACTTCCTCATCATTTGCATGATGAACAGGGATTTTTCACCTGTTTGTGCTGTGGCTCTGGCACTGGCAATCTGGTTATTAGCAGTCTGCCCAGCTGAGTCAAAACTGGCTCTTTGGAGACTCAGAATGTGAGGGATGAGAAGAGATGTTGGATTTGTTGGTCAGGAAGGGTGGGGTGAAGCCTTATAATCCTGCTTCGATGTAGACTTTTCTTCATCTCTAATGGTCTTAAATAAGCCTGGTTAATTGTAGCACTGTCAGTCAGTTCGGGCTGCTGTGATGACGCACCAGAGGCTGGGTGGTTTGCAGCAAGCATTCACTTCTCACAGTTCTGGAGGCTGCGAGTCTGAGATCAGGGTGCTAGCATAGTTGGCTCCTTGGTGAGGGCCCTCTTCCTGGTTATATCCTCAGGTGACCTTTCCTTGGGGCATGCATGCTCAGAAAGAGATCTCATGTCCCTTCAACTTTTTATGAGGGCATTAGTCCCATTATGGAGGCTCCACTCTCCTGACCTCATCTAAACCTAATTACCTCTTAAAAGACCACACCTTCAGATATCATCACATCAGGGCTACTGTGGCTTCAGTATATGAATTTCAAGGGGACACAAACAGTTCATAGCAAGCACCTTGGTATATGTGCTTGTAAACACAATCTTGTAGGCATCTTGGTAGTGTTCACATGGTCACACAGCCTTCCTGTTCCTCCTGCCTAAGGCAAATCCTCTTCAAGTCTGGATACTATTGGAAAGTCACAGCCCTATTTTTATAAAAAAGGCTATCTTGAATCTCGTTAGCTCAACTAAACAAAGCTATTTCTCAGAAAATGCTCGAATACCCAACTGCTGTACTCAAGGCTGATCACAGGGATCACTTCTTGAGCAGGTGGATAAAGAAGGCTCATAGAAATATCTCACTCAAGGCGCTGCTGACTCCAGGGTTCATGTAGCTGTGATATCCCAGTTGGGGAGTCAGCGCCACCTGCTGGGTGAACGTAGAGCAGCAGGTGTCCCCAAATTGCTGAGAATCTGAGAACTGAGAACTCAGGGATCATAATTTCTTGGGGCTCTGGTTTGGAACCAGTGCTGACAATCTGCAGCATAAGTAGTCTTAGGAAAGCGTGGAGGCAACGTGTGTTTTTGTGGAACCGCAGGGTGTCCTCAGGCATGCTTTGGATATAGGGGTAACCAGGAACATGAGCTTGGCAAGTGTGCCTTGGCAGGGTTAGAACAAGAACTTTGTTGAGCTTTCATAGCGTTGGCACCCTTATGAACAGTGGGCTCTTAGATGAATTTGTTTGGTTGTTTGTATGCCACAAACCACCTCTCATTCTCAGACATCAGTGCTGTCCTGTAGCTGTGAGGTAAGAGGAATTTGTCCGCTGTGTCTCCCTTTCTCCTGACTGCAACTAACTCACTCAACAGAAGGGGAAATCAGGGGCCAAGGAATGAAACTGAACTGGCCAGTTAAACTTTTCCTGGGACAGAAGATATGGGGGTAATGTTCCTTAACTGAATATGCCATTAAGAAAATGTTCTTTCTCTCTCTTTAAAAATTTATGAAAAATTTCAAACATTTATAATGCAGAGAAAATCATAGAACTACGATGTACTCATCACCTCGCTCACCAGTCACTAACTCGTGGTCAGTGTTATACTATCTGTTTTCTGATCCGTTCATCAAACCCTCCAGTAGGTGATTTTGAAAGGAGTCCCAGACATCATATAATTTCATCTGCAAGTGTTTCAGTGTGTATCTCTGAATGATTCTTCATTTAAGCAAAGCACAATATCATAGAACAGTATAATCAGTAATTTCTTAAAATCACTGAGTGTCTAAGCAGGGTTTAGATTTCCCCAATTATCTCATTTTAAAAATGGCTTGTTTGAATCCAAAGTCCACACATTGCATTAAATTTCTCTTCTCTTTTTGTCCCCTTAACCATTTGTTAAAGAAATCGGTCTTTTGTCCTGTGCAGTTTATGGAAAGATGCTGGTGGCATCTCTGGATGTTTTCTGACAGTCTCCTCCATCCTTCTGTATTGTCTATAAGCTGGTGCTTTGGATCTAGACCATATTCAGACTCCCTCTTTTGTGCAAGGATGGTGGTGTTGAGTTGTATACTTTTACTGCTGTACATCAGAGCGTCTGTTATCTGCCTTTTCATCATGTTAAGCTTGATTAGTGGGTTCAGGTGTTCAGCCTTATCCATTCCTTGTAGACCCTTTCACCTAAAAGTTTAGCAGCTACTGTTTCATTGTTTCATTAGAAGTTGCAACATGGTGATACTCAAAATTCTGAAATTCTTTCCTAAAGCAGAACTTTACCTCATCGATTACTCTGAGGAAAGGCAAGATAAAAAGATAAATGCTTTGATATTCCCCTCTGTTTCACCAGTTTTCAAAATAATTAGTTGATTCTCTTAAGATTCTCTGTAAGACCAATGAAAGTCTTTTTGTTGATACTCATTTTCCCTTAGTAACACTGTGACTCATGGATTTTTATCAGACTTAAATGTGTTCCAGTGAATATAGTGGTCATTCATCGTAATATTCGCTCCTTCTTTGGCCAGTGAGTTTTTTCACATTGACTCTGAGTCCTTCCTCATGATCCATATAGTCTTTGATAATGTCCTTTATTTCTTGTATGAAGAGCTGTTCCAGATACTTTTTGTGTATTTCCAGTTTCAGGCCCAGGATTGGCAGTTTCTCCAAGGAACTGAAATTCTTTATTGACAACAGTCTGAGTGCTGCTTGGGTTGGTCACTCTTTCTGGGTGTTTTCTGTGGACAAAACTAGCCAACACATGTATTTGTCTTGTAAAAAGAAATCAAGAATTTATAATGATGTTTCTAATTCATATTTAGAATTAGAGTTTTATTCAACCTCTTTGACTTTGTATTTTTTTTTCTTATGCTGAAAATCTTGATCCAAATAAAGCAACATATTACTTATTCCCCTTTCCATACACACATGCAAACACATGGATGCAAGTACATATAAAATCATGTATATATTATAGTGTATATACAAAATCATGTATGTGTAAATTTATATTTTTGAATAAAAATAACAATGATATTGTTATTATTAGCAACACAATTACTGAAAAGTTTGTAATTTCTTTGCAGTTCTTTTTGTCCTTTAGTGTAAATCTCCTAAGGACATACAAATAATTTTATCTTAAAGCCATTTGAAATAACTTCTCTCTGTGTTGTTAAACCATCAGTATGATACACAGGTTCATTTGTATTTTATATTTTTTCAGTTTTTAGCGATTGCTTTCTTCCTTTCAATTTTATTTTACATTATATAGATCATATACATGTTACAATGGGAAATTTCAGAAAGTGAATACATGGTGTGTTCAGCATTTTATTTCTGCCCCCTCCATCCTGTTTCTTCTCATTCCAGCTGTTTTAAAACATATTTTGGTTATCATTCTGTTGGTTGTTTGTTTTAAAAAGTAGATTCTTTTTTAAAAACAACTTTACTGAGGTAGAATTTACGTACCATAAAATTGACCCATTTTCATTGTACAATTCAATGATTTTTATGAGTTGTACAGTCATCACCATAATCCAGTTTTAGAACATATTCATCATCCCACAAAGGTCCTTCTTGGCCATTTATAGTTATTCCATTCCCATCCACAGCCTCAGGCAGCCATGAATCTATTTTCTGTTTCTATAGATTTGCTTATTCCACACATTTCATTTGAATAGAATAATATAATATGTGCTTTTTTGTATCCCACTTCTTTCACTTAGCATAACATTCTTGAGGTTCATCCATGCTATAGCGTGTATCAGTACTTTATTCCTTTGTTGCAGAGGAGTATTCTGTTGTGTGGGTATACCATATATTTTGTTTATCTGTTCAGCAGTTGATGGCCATTTGGGTTGTTTTCATTTTTTAGCCATTATAAATAATGTTGATGTGAATATTTGTGTGGATGTATGTTTTCACTTCTTTTGGATATATACATGTGGGTGGAATCGCTGGGTTATATGGTAGGTTTATGTATAATTTTTAAGAAACTGCCAGACTGTCTTCCAAAGTGGCCACACCGTTTTATAGTCCCACTAGCCCAATTGTGTGGGTTCCTGTTTCTCCATAGCCTTGTCCTGGTCATTGTCTGTCTTTTCAGTGACAGCCATCACAGAGAGTGTGAACTGTATCTCCTTCTGGTTTTAGTTTTCTGGAAAATATATTTTTTAACTGAATTCCATAAACATTTACCGAGGTCCAGCTGTGATCAAGGTCTTAGGTAGAGTCTGTGGGAGATTCAAAATTGAACTAGGTACAGAAGCACTCCAGTTTGACTGCGTAATTCAGAGGAGCGAGAGGAGACATGTCGTGAATTAACTTGATAGAGGTTTAAAGAGTCAGGAAGGTGTGGGAAAGGGTGATGGAACACAGCCGTACTCAATACTTGGCAGCAATTATTGGTGGTAGCCTGTTATAATTATTAGTGAAACTTATAACTTCATGGACTTTTGACCTAGCCTGCTGTTCTCTGCTGTTACTGATTTTACTAAAAGGTATAAACAGATTTGCCCTAGTCTGCCCACTGACACATGCTAGCTACCTGCTTTTCTCTGTTCACTATTTCAGCATAGCTGAATTTTGTCTTTTTATGGAGGGGATTTCTGTTGCCAGAGATATTTTCCCAGATGCAACTAACTACTAATTACTTTTCTTTGCTGTTCTTGAAGGCTTGGCATTTGCCTATTAATTAGCTAAGTGTTTAGAAGTGTGGGGAAAGGTTCCCTGCTTACAAAGCTTTTGGTTAACTGATAAAGG